CAGCCATTGCTGCACTTCTGCCGCTGAAACATTTCCCAGCAATCACTCTGCTATCATTTACACATGGAAGGAGTCTTAGTTCCTTCTCACTAAACCCACGTTTCTTTGATCCAAATGGATATTACCGAATAACTTTTTTCCCCTCGAAATTGCAAAATAATTAGCACTTAACACCCCAAAGCACTTAACACCGATTTTTACATATAGTAGACACTCAATGAATAAGTGAAAGAATTAAAGATGTTTAAAAAATGTAAAGTGAGACAAGTGACAGAGAAATTAAGAGGAAAAAGTGTTAGCTCTTACTTTTAGGTCCCAAGCAATAACTACAAAATTACATATAGAGGAGCTGGTGCAATTTTATGTGTAAAAATACATGGATGTTATTCCCCCCCAATTTAATTTTGTTTTGGGCTTTCTGAATTGGAATATAGAATAAAGGATTCTGCTCCGCATTGCTCACTGCCCATGTCTGGTGAATAGGATATTTAAAGGCCTCAAATTCTTGTCATACAGAAAAGGGAGGGATTTAACACTTTGGGTTTATTTTATTCTTTTATTATTAATTCACTTGAAAGACATTTATACAAACCAATCTTTTATTCATAGAGGTTACATCCAAGGGTTTATGTATAACATGAAACATAACCCAAATTAATTATACCAAATATCATCTATAGCAGACTGCTAACCCCAAGCTTGGTAGTTTAACTGTGAGTGCTTGTTCATGGGGTTAATTGTGGCTTCCAACCTACTGAGTATAAAATTAGCCTCTCAGAAGCAGACAAGGATTATCTTCCTACCAGCAAAAGGGAAATGCCTGGAGTGGAGCGTGTCATTGGGACCCTGAGAGCCCTGCTCATTGAGCCTCCTTGACCAGGAGAAAGCTGCAATATGAGAGACAAGGCCGAGAAGCAACAGCAGCAGACCCAGGAAACTCGGCACGCGGCGGAGTGGTGAACGTCCAAGCCCCCAGAGCAGGCAAAGCTGAGTGCCTTGGGGCAGGAGGCTAACTTCCGGAGTGGCATGCTTCTAGGCCCTCCATTGCGGAAGCCGAGTTTGCTGACCATTGAGCGAGAGGCTTTGTGACATTGAGCAAGCAGGTTAACAACACCAATCAGGTCCATCATCTTTGTGGTTGAGAGACCAAAGACCAGAGAGAGGCCTGCCTGTCTAAAAAGTCTAAACAGTGGCTGTCCTGTCTAAATAATTGAAGCTTGAGCATTGTAATCTGTTTACTTTCTTAACAAACCCTATACCCATGAGTACTGTCTGTGAATTCTGTGTAGCCATTGCAAAGCATTATCAAACCAGCGGAAAAAAGCAGAGCTGTGGGAGGGATATAGAGTGTCCAAATGGGGAGGAAGGTTGGTGGTAGGGCAACATATGACCTCAGCCTCATTGAAACTGACCTTGAGCAGGGCTGATACTGAGTTTGATTGTGCTTTCACATCGTGTGCTAGAGGAGATCAGATGTGGCTCCCAGAGCATTTCTTTTTATAGTTAGTCACCCTGCTCCTGAAGGGATCTGCGTTGCTGGAAACCCATTGGGTTGCTGTGAGTAGTAACTGACTTGATGGCAGTGGGTCTTTTGGTGTTATATGTTATTTAACATATGATAATGTAATATATATTTATGTGCACATCACAAAATGACAATTGCTATGGAGAAAAAGGTAAGAAGATAGTAAGGAGGAAAAGGAGCTAGCAGGGCAGAGGATCGTCTTTTATAGCCTGGGACCAAGGAAGGAGTCTCTGATTAGGTGACATCTGAGGCAGGGAACCAAGCCGAAAGCTGAGGAGCAAGTCTCAGTCCCCGAGAACAGCGAGGGTAAAGGTGCCCAGACAGAAGTAGGCCCAGGGAGATTGAGGGATGGAGTGACTGGGCCAAGTGAGAGGAGGAGCAGCTGTTGGAAGAAGAGATCAGAGAAGTCGTGGGAAGCAGATTTTGTATAGTTTTCTAGTGCACTGTAAGAATGTTGGCTTTCAGAAGCCTGACAACAATACATAGGACTTAGTATGCAAAGCTACACGAAGGGGGTAGGCTATCCATCAGGGCTGTTTGCAAGTATTTCTGACCCGATTTCCCAGAGACATGGTAGAGTTTTTGACTTGCTTCTGGTTGAAAGAAGCACTGTCACTAGTTCCGCCTTGTGAGAGGAATAGTGTGTGTCATGTCTAGGCTGATGCACATACTTGCAGGTAAGAAGCCTCCAGAACATTCTCTCTCCCATGGTGGCTACTTTATCAACCTGGGGTCCCGAGTGACGGCTGGAAATGGAAGCCCCTTGATGTTCTACAGTGGATATGCAATATGAGAGAGAACTCATCCTTTATTTTTTGAGCACAGATTTGGGGGTTTCTTTTTCTCACAGCACCATCGAGTCTAGCCTATCATGAGATAATACTGAAGAGGCTTTTAATGGGCTCTGTAGGTAGCGACAGCTGAAGTATTTGAATAACTAAGGCTGTCAACAAAACAAGAGCTTGGCTTCTTTTTCATGTGGCAGACAGTCCCAGTGAAGTAACTTTCACCAAATGGTGGTGGTGTGTGTGTGTGGTTTTGACCCTATATAAAGTGTATCAATCTAGGAGTCAGAGCTACACATGACCGAATGGGCCTTAATGGTGGGTAGTGGGTTCCTGGTCACTGGGAGTATTTGGGGACAAGCCAAGGGTTATCAGAAGAGGAGGTTTCAGGCATCAGATGAGAGATTGGACAAAAATGAAGGCTCTTTTATTTCCTGATACTTTGTCAATTCATCATCTTTGAGTTTTTCCACTACAATATCAAGAGTTAATGTTTATCAGGAACTAGTCGGGCTATCTTCTCCTAGAACAATTTGCAGCCTTGCAAGCCCGAGTCAGGATCACTGTATTGAAACTGACTCCGTGGCAGTGGGCTTGGTGTGCGATTACCAGGCACTGGGTGAAGCACTCCATTCGAGGCAGTCCTTGGGGCGCCCTGGGCTACACATTGAGCTGCCGACCCAGCTGCAAGCTCAGCCACTTCAACTCACCTGCCACTCCACAGGAGAATGATGCGGCTG